ACCTTCCCCACTAACCGGCAGTAAGCTTCGCATGGACTTTCGGATGCGTTGGGGAGCGAGGGAGGTCGCGGCCAACTCCCGGAGGGACGGCAGGCCGAGAGCACCGCCGCCCGGCCTGGCGCCGAGCCTGAGCCCGCCGGACGGGAGGCGGCCCAGCCGCGGGCTCGGCCTCGGCCCCAGCCCCGCCAGCATGGCCGGCCGGACCGTGCGGGCTGAGACCCGGAGCCGGGCCAAGGATGACATCAAGAAGGTGATGGCGACCATCGAGAAGGTCCGGAGATGGTGAGCGCTGTCCCGGGGCCAGGGTCGGGACTGGCAGGGCCGTTCCTCCTCCGAAGGCGTCCGCCCGCCCTTCACCAGCGGTGGCCCAGGTGTTAGGCGTGTCCGCCAGCGGCGCCCGGGATCTACAGAGCTCCGTCCCCTTCTGGCTGCACCCGGGGGTCTACAAAGCGTGTGCCCCAGCCGTGCCCTTCCAGAGCAGGAGCCCCCATATATGCCCCGCCCCCTAAGGCTCTGACACTCCTCCCCAAAGTGTGCCCGACCCCAAGCCAGGCCCGAGCCCGGTGCCCATGTCTACCCCGGGGTCTGTGAGCCATGGCCCCCTTCTCTGTCACTGGAGGCACCTCCATGGATGCCCTGGGATCTGCCTGTTCCCTTTCTCCCTCTAACGATGCCCCATCAGCAAAGCTGCCCCTTCCCTGTGCTCCACCCACCCCTCTGTAGGTACCCCCAGATGTGCCTAGCTGCCGAGGAGGCTCTCAGCTCCGGCCTCTCTGACCTAGTCCCCCCACTCTCCCACAGGGAGAAGCGCTGGGTGACTGTGGGCGACACGTCCCTTCGTATCTTCAAGTGGGTGCCAGTGGTGGACCCCCAGGAGGAGGTGAGCAAGCTCCCCCAAACCAGACCCCGCATCTGTGCAACCCCAGGCGAGCCCCTCCCCATCCTGGCCTCCACCTCCAGTCCCCACTCTGAGACTTCAAATGCAGCAGCCCAGACACATGTTAACAATTATTGGCAACTCCACCCCTTCTCCCTTTCTCCTGCTCCAGACCCGGGAATTCAAGACCTCACCCCTGTGCACCACCTCTGTCATCTCACGCAGGGCCTTTCGCTTCTCTGCGCCTCCGCTTACTTTTTTGTAGGGTTTTTGTAGGGTGGGGGCTTTGCAAGCGCTGACTCTGATCCTTACCCCTCTAATCCCCAGGAGCGACGGAGGGCAGGTGGCGGGGCAGAGAGATCCCGAGGTCGGGAGCGGCGGGGTAGGGGTGCCAGCCCCCGAGGGGGTGGTCCCCTCATTCTGCTTGATCTCAATGGTATGTAGGGATCCTGGGACTGGGGGGGGGGCACGGGGGGGGGCTATGGGATTGGAGGAAGGGGACTGGGGAACTCAGGCCCAACCCTCTCGACTTTTGCTCTCACAGATGAGAACAGTAACCAGAGTTTCCATTTCGGGAAGCTTCCCTGCAAAAGGGCACTGAGCCCAGCCCTGGCGGCACCCCGCAGCCCAGCCGCCCCTGCCTCACCTTTCCGGACCACCGGAAGGGGTCCCCGGAGGAAGCCCAGCCGCCGCGGCCTAGGCCAGGAGAGAGGTAGGACCAGGTGCCGCCTAGGAGCCCTCCCCTCTGCGTCTTGTCCTCTCCGAGGTTGAAGCCACCAGCTTATCCCTGTACCTGCTCCCCCTCTTCCGGTGCCTCCTCTGGAGGCTTCCTGACTCCCGTGGAAGGTCATGACCCTTCTCTTGACTTCTGGTCTGTTGATAACTTATCACTGGGATTTTCATGTAAATTTAAATTTTATTACCTAAGTGTCGTCTTTCCCT